GGAAACAAAAAGGGTGGGAAAATTTCCCTGTATACAGTAAACTCAAACTTTCAAATTTGGCACCGCTCTTAAATTATCTTTCACTTTCTGAATCTTTCTTTTTTTGCATGTTTTGTGCTTTTAAAAAGTTTTTTAGAGTCTATTTTCTCATGTAAATAGGATAAAAACTTTTAACTGGTTATGTGGAACCTTCTATCGGTAGACATGGTACACCTGACTGTATACGTCTGCTATGTAATTGCGGTCAAGAAATGATAATTCCGATAGGAACCAAGAACGATAATTCCGATGGGAAATATGAGAGTGTTCCGAAGGGGTGGGATATACGATATTTCCTCGGGGATACACGGCGTCTTCTCGAAGTCAAGCGAGAGTATAGACCAATCAGATGAGGCAGTTTATAGAATTATGAGGTTAAATAAAATTATAAATGTTTTTGATTGAAATAAAAGAAATATACATTCATTCTTTGAAAAATTGGTCTTGAACAAGAATACTGAATAATTTCGTGCATAACATATATAAAGAACGAGGCGAGTAGTAATATGTTCTATAGCGTTAATTGGCTACAGTTTAATGACATATTCAACAATTATAATTACCGTTAATCATCAGTGACTTTCTTTTTTAAATAAAATATTGTATTGCAGTTACAGTAGATTTCTTAATATATGCAAAAATATTATCATTATTTGCAATTTTGCAAAAAGCACCATTTGCGCGAGAGAACCGCTTTTACTTTTAATATATATCTTTTTTTTTGATTCTGCATTTACATTTTTGTTGTAAGTGTTAAAACTTTCTTTCTTTTTCAGATTTAAATACTTTTGAAGTGAATATAAAAAAATTCTATTCCGTGAATTTCTTGTAAACTAGGTGATTTTTATGGAACAATATATTTGTGCTTGCATAATCCTCTCCACAAATTAAAAATATATCTCTTTAAAAAAATGGAGTTAATTTTAAATATATCACATTATTTCTGTTAGAAAGAAAAAAGAAATTCATCAATCAGGCAGATTAATCTTTTCACAGATTTTGCTTCTGTATGTTTTTAGCTCCGGTTTATGTAGTTGCAGCATTGTTCGCAATAGTGCTGTACCTCAAATTGTCCCTTTCAGAATCTCAAAGAAAGGAATTGGTCATTTACATGTATTTCAAGCTCACCGGGATATAGCGTATCGACATAAGAATGGCAATAGCCATTGTTAATTGAGGGTACGTCGTCGATATATCTAAATGTCGCTTTGAAGGCCACAGCAAGTGTTTTCTTCTTTTCACGTATAAGATTTTGAACAAATTCTGCTTCATATGGATACAAAAATAGGTCTGCTAATAACGGGACGTCTGAGGATTAAGTTACAGGAAAGTTACTCAGTCACAGGAAAACCACATGGTACCCTCAAGAAATCCAAAATTTCACTGGTGAAAGAAAAGCTTTTTGAAGAAGGAAAATCGGGTGAAGAAATTTTAACAATCGTTTCTGAGGATTTTTTCAATAAACACTTATTCCATTTACTAGTGTTAATTATTCTTTAGAGGACAAGCCGGTCGCCGTAGCCCAGTGGTAAGTTGCTCGTTTCGGAGATATCGGGTTCGAATCTCCATTCTCTTTCCCGCTGCGACAAACCTAAGATGTTTAACATGTTCCTTCTCGCAGGACATGGAGACCGGTCCTTCAAACGAGACTGTATAAACCGAGGTCCCGTGGCGCAGTAGGTGCTAGGACGAAAAAGATCCCTCACTGCTCAAAGGCTCTATAGGTGCCAAGTACAAGCCTAAATTTGCAGCCCTCAACCGGCAAGTGGTGGTGTCTTAATGTGAGTGAAAATCATCGAAGAGATGTTAAACAACCCCCCCCCCCCCCCAAAAAAAAAATAAAGAAAACCAAATATTATAAGAATATTATAAGATGATAAATGCAATTAGAAAGTAGAATGAAACCGAATATTTTTACTCATATGTAGTCGTCGATGTATCTAAATGTCGAATGGAACAAATTTTGCATTTAATTTTTTTTATTTCTTTTTTAACAGTATTAGACTAAGCACACAGTGTTTTGTACACCATCTCATATTTTGTGACAGAAGTTATAAACGACCTTTTAAGTACGTATAATAAAGTCAGATTACTGCATGTATGGATACAGTTTGCATATTAAAAATCTGTTTAAGATTTACTCTGATAGTAGATATAATCTTTCCTCGCGATCACCCGAGTGTAAATTTTGTATCTCAGCGCTTCCCTAAGTAAAGAAGAAAAAGATTATTTATTAAGAGAAGAGTAGATAAAGAAAATTCACAACAAAAGGAGATTTACAACCCCACCAAAACATATTTCAAGTTGCTATTATTATTATTATTTTAATGATTAAAATTAGCCATTTTCTCTTAAGTTTGTATTTTTCTTAGAGTCTGAGAGTGTACACTTAGAATAGTTATTATAAGCAATTTAGTGTTTTATCATTACACACGTTAAAAACCATCTGGCGCAATATAGTAAAAGTTGCACAAAAGAGGTCATGTGAAAAAATAAATGTCACCTAATCAGAGTAAATAACATTAAAATGAATCAAATTTTGTATCTGATTTTTATTCATTTTGAGTTTTACACTTTTCAGAATAATAAAAATCTTTAAAAGTAATGTAGGCGGTACTTTTTGCTGAGTGCAATTTTGATTGGTCTCTAACAATCTCTTTGCTAGTGGAAAGAATCTGGGGGGGGATAAGACGAGCCATGTGCCCATGCCCGTTTTTCGACTATGCAATAACATTTATTGGAAAAAATCTCTCAATTGTTCGAATTTACTTAAGCATTTTAATGTTTACTGTAGTTTTCAAAATGATATTTATATTCTAAACAAGCTGAACAGTTGACTTTCATTTACTGTCACAAATGTCTAACATGGGTAAGGACTTCTATTAATTAATCTGCATATTGAGTGTTTACACTTATTGTGGAGATATTATAAAAATGCTAACATCGTATATAATGGTGATCTAGAAGCGCTTTTATTTAAAATAAATAAAAACGAGAATAAAAGTATTCAAATATCTATTATAATTTTATCCGGCATTTTAAATAATTTACAGTAAATAAGTTCATTACTACATGTATATATTTTATTTCCAGTGAAAAATATGTTATTCCTATAGACATTTTTTTATAAAGTAAAACAAAATTAAAAAAAAAAAAAAAAAAAAAAAAAAAAATCAGAGCATGACTCGATCACTTTCCTCAATAAACGTCCCTTTAAAGAGCTCCTCGCTAACCACTAGACCACGGAGTCACACTTACATGTCTATTTAAATAGCATACAGTTCTCTATATTTAGCAAGCGTTTTTGGACTTAGAATTTTTTAAGACCACGGTGAAAAATTAAGTAAGTTAACTTAATTTTTTATGTAGAGTGGGTCTTCATACCAAATTTTTGCAAGTGTAAAAAGCAACATCTTTCCATTGCCTTTCATTAATTGTTCTCAAAAAAAATGGTACGATGACCCACTCTATTTAAAAAATGTAGTTATATCATCCAAATTATATCAGTTTCTGTGAAAATTGAGCGTGATGCCATTTTGTTGTGTTAATCAGAATTATTTTCGCTGTTACAGTATTCAGGTTTTGTCAAATTTGTATGCAAATGGTAATAAGCATTACATTAATTCAACAAAAAGTGAAATTTTTGTAAAATGAATTTATTAATTTTTTATCGATCGTTTTGTAGGCATATGGCTCGCTTATCCCCCCAGTTTCTTTATATATTCTCTATTTTCAGTGCATTTGGTACTCCAAATTTAAAATAAGCCAGTCGAAGAGAAAAAAATTTAAGTCGTCGTCGTATTCATTGGTATCTTGAAGCGCAGTATATGTTACATAATTTCCACGAACAATTGAATCGGAGTTGCAAAATCCAGTAAGTAAATTAATTTCTGAATTGTTACTGTTACTACATATTTTTCGATTTTACACATTTGACCCAAACATTTTTCAAGAAACCCCTTTTGTAAATGGTTAGTTCCATTTTATAATAAATGCAACTCTAATTTTCCATAGAAGAGGAAAACATATAGCTAGGAAAGGCATATTTGCTGCTCTTTCAAATCATTTCACAAAGTCACTCTATTATGAATTTTCAATTATGTGGATGATAACAATTTTGTGGTTTTTATTTTATAGCATGATGTTGAATAGTTTATATTTAGGAAAATAGGGTTCCAGTTAATAATTTTTATGCTTTATTTCAATCATAACTTAAGATAACAACAACCAGAGTGTGTTACTACTAATGAAAAAAAACCTGTTGATTTTGGTGTTTTGTTTATATATATATATATATATATATATATATATATATATATATATATATATATATATATATATATATATATATATATATATATATATATATATATATATATATATAATATAATTTCCTTCATTCAATTCTTTAAATGTGGATTTTTAAACAGATCCAATCAATCTCAATAAAGTTAGGAAAGGTAGACAAATGGGGAGGGATCGGTGCCTTTATAAAATTTTATTAAGTGTTTCATTAAATAACTCAATATAAAAATTATCTAATAAACGAGTTTATTTAGTTTTCCAAAATAATAGGTTTGTTAAATCTAAGTATGTACCTTTAATACCTATTATATACATTTAACTAGACCTATCATAAGTAATACATCAATGCATCTAAGTGTCCCTAGTATGCATGTACTCATACTAAAGTCACGCCGTTTTCAGTCTGTGTACAGATTCCGTAGCAAGGATAAAATCTCTGAGATTTGTTCTCATGTTAATTACGTTCTCCTCTAAGGTGTGACGTCTGAGCTTCACTGAATACAAGAATTGAAAGAAATTAACTTATCTAGTGAAGCATATATGTCAGAACTCTGTGAGCGGAGAATAAAATTATCTTTAAAACATAATTTATTCTATTACGTACTCAGTAATGTTTACAAGTTATTTGCACGTGCGATTTGCCTGAAAAAGCTGCGATGTATGACACAGCTATTTGGGCACCTCTAAGTATGTCATAATCATAAAAAGACTTATGATATAAAAAAAAACCCAAATCAAATGATTATCCCATGCAGTCATTAAAGTGTGGTAAATAATTTAAAGCGTGCACACACACACGCACTTTATATACATATTTCTGCAATAAAATCGTCAATCAGACCGGTTATGAATTCATTATTTGAAATACTAACACAGAAAGGAACTTTGTGGACCAGATCACTCTCGTAGCCCACCAGTGCATTTATGCTTAATTTAATACATGTGTACATATATTTTATGTATATTATAGAATAACCATTGCAGATTCTTCATCTCCCAGGTACAGGGAGAGTACATTAATAGGCAAACACTTCAGTAGTGGTAAAGCTGTCTTATGCAAAAAAAAAATTGTAATCGCGTAACTTTGTCAGAAGAACCACTCTCGTGAGAAAATTACTCGCATTTACTTTTCAAGATTGTCAGGAAATTTTAATTTCTACATTTACAGTTTTGTTGTAAGTTAAAAATACTTAAGCCCCGTTCAAACGAATGTGCACTAAATATTTTATTCGCAGTAAATTAATGAGAAGTAAAATGAGGCAAATTAAACTAAACCGAATTAATTTGCGTTCACACGACAGTCAATGCGAGATAAGCTAATGCCAATTAAAATGTTATTTCTATATAGTAAAGTGTTATGACAGCAATAGCAAATCATGTCCCCTTACGCAGAGCAGATCTTCATTTGACATAATACCATAGTGTCTGTACATATTTTAATGATAATCTTTCCCTGTTTTTCACTCACAGCTAGTATAAGTATTGATATCTGACCATCGCATATGGCAGGTGGCTTAATTTTGCGATTACGCATGCGTCAAAATTTATTTCGAATTATCTTCTCTAAGCGTTCAAACGGAGTAAGTGCAAAGCAATTTGATACGCAGTATATTAATTCAAATTAAAATTCTCCATGTGAATGCGATTCAAATTTTATTATTTATACGGAGTAACTTACGTTTAATTTGAATTAATCTATCCGTGTGAATAGGATGTTACGGTGTTAAAACTTTCTTTCTTTTTCAGATCTAAATATTTCTGAAGACGATATGAAAAACTTTTCTGTGAATTCTAAACGATGTAGGTGCTTTTTTCGTAACAATTATATTTGTGCTTGCATATTCCTCTCCAAACATTAAAAAGCAGATCCTTTTTTTTTTAAAAGGATATTAATTTCAGATTTTTCTCATAATTTCTCATAAACAATTAAGCTTCATCAATCAGGTAGATAAATCTTTTCATATATCTTTATTATACGTATATTTTTAGATACAATATATGTAGTTGCAACTTTGTTCGCAACAGTGCTTTACCTCAGTTTGTTGCTATCAGTGTTTCAAAGAAAGGAACTGGTCAATTATTTTCCATCATTCCACCTGAAGCTTATCGCTTCCAGTACTACAAAAGAGGTTTTATCAGATGCCACCAAGGAAGTTTCTACATCGCCAAACACTGCTAATACGTTGCCTATCACAACCAAATTTATCTTCTCAGATGCATCCAAAACAAATTCATTGACTGAGATTTATGTGTGTCCCACGTTTGAGGGAAGACTTGGAAATAATTTATTCCAGTTTGCGTCAGGTTTTGGCATCGCTGTCTCCAAGGGTTTGAAGTTTGTGATAGGAGAGAAAGACCGAGTATATAAAATGCTACAATTGAAAAATAGTAAACACCTTCTGATCAGTAAAGACAAAAAAGAATGTATCAAGGCAAAAGTTCGAATAGAGCGCCGTATGTGTTCATACGATGACCAGATAGGAAACTTTACACCAAATGCAACATTCAGAGTTGGAAATTATCTACAGTCATGGAAGTATTTTCATAATGCCTCACGGGAATTACGAGAACAGTTTAAAATCTGGGTTGATCTTCAGAAAAAAGTGGATCATATAATTAAAGTTATCGTTGAGAAATTCAACACAACTCGAAAGAATGTGACTTTAATTGCTATCCATAATAGACGTGGTGACTACTTAAGTAGATATTCGAATGGTTATAACGTTGCAACCAAGGAATACTTTGAGAAAGCTATGAAATTTTTCAGTAATTATTCTAATCCTCTTTATATTGTTTGCTCCAATGATTATAAGTGGTCTAGGGCCAACATTCCTAGGAACTACAAGGTAGAGTTTATACTTGGGAATTTACCGGAAGTTGATTTGACTTTAATGGCTTCATGTGATCACATGATATCGTCGGTGGGTACCTATAGCTGGTGGGCATCATGGTTCAATAAGGGGAAAGTGACTTACTACAAATGGCCGGCAAGAGAAAGATCTGGCCTCCGTGTTCATTTCAGCTCAGATTATATGGATTATTTTTATCCACATTGGATAGGATTATGACAAAATTTCTAATGATACAGTTTCATCGTTAATATTTTTAAAGCCATTTGTGCATCAATGGAATTTTAATCAAGTTTGCACATAAATTCAATTGAACGTGCAATTATTTTTTTTTCTTATTTGCTTCTAAAAATTACGATATTTTGTTTTTCTGAATAAAATGAATGCCTGATATAGATAAATTTCTTCTTGCATAGATTTTGCTTTAGAATACAGATAAGAAAGAAAATTGCATGTTTTTAACAAAAAATGCAAAGGTTACCCAGTGTTTCAATTTTACTAGTGTGTTAAGAAGAATAAAGAGAAAATATAAGAAAATGATTTTTATTTCAGGAAATTTAAGTCTTGTCATAATCCTATCCAAGCAGGTAGACAAATGCAGTAGAGTTACGGTGCCCAATGAAAATATCGATTTTTTAAAGATAAAATCTTTAGTAAGATGAGCAATTCGTTTCAGTACTTCATCTATATCAGACAGATGTAATATGGTTAAAAGTACATGTTAAGGACGATTTCATTTTTTATTTAGACTTGTTACATGATGCGACAGTCACGTGATTCTAGCAAATAGACTTCAATACCAAGGTCATCTATAAATTCCTATATTGTATTACCCAGATAAAAGTCTCTGGTTGAATCTAAAGATATTCTTAACACTATTTGCACTTCGTGAAAAATATTGCGAAACTTTATAGATTCTACCATCTTATTGTTAAAATTGCATTTGTTAGACCTCATGTTGACTATTTAACGAGACAACAGCATTCACTATAGAAATAACTCATTTACAAGATTTCATCAGGCTCGAGACAATTATCAAATATCTTAGTACTTCTTAAGTTTACGTGTAAAACCTAGCTTTGTAAGAAGAAGGAAAACGGATTACCCTCAAGACCCCCCACCCCATCCCTCCACTGTATACTACTATAGGTTTACTTATTTTTAGCAGTTTTCATATTTTAGCGCCTTTTGCAATGTTCCCTGTCCGCTTATTCAATTACACGCTTATATATATTAATATAAATATGGATAAATATAAATATAGAAAGAGGTTTGGTTCAAAATGCGCTTATTCTTAAATATCCTAATTCGCAGATATGGATGATTCCGTTGAATTTATGTATGCTTACAAGGTTATTCAAAAAATACTATGATCAAAGTTTAAAATAACAAGACCAAAAGCTGGTATATTTTCTTGAATGTTTTCAAAAGCCAAAAGTTATTGAACCATAGGTTTCATTTCATTTATTAAATTTGTGAGATTTTAAAGACTTTCTTTAAAGAAAATAATTAACAGTGCAATATAAAAGAATCAATTAAAATTAATACATTGAAAGAATTGTGGAATTTTCACCAAGTTTTTTGTCAAAGCATTGAAAGAAAAATCCGAGCAGAATCATGACGTAAACTTCAGTTATTATTTCAGGACACTTCATTGTATAGGATATAATCTAAAAATAAAATTATAGCTATACATAATTTATCGGATATAATTCCTGAAGAAACTTTAAAAAAATGGAAATTCTCATTGCTATTTTAAGACAATAAATTGGAGATGAAGAACTCTTAATGAAAGCGAATGACCATAAGCGGCGTTAAATGTTTAACTGGCGAGAAAACTTTAAAAACATAAATTTTACAATAAGAAGTCTATTACATAAAATTAAGATGAAGCAACTCGGGAGCAAAATTATGACCATACTAAAATCTACAATAATGAGCAAAAATAAATATGTCCTTTTTTTGTTTAAAACTTCTGTCTTCTTGTGTAGACAGTTTGTGTAAGATATTGAGCTAATATAGATACGGTTATAACAATCAGAATGAAACATTTTGAAATGTATACCTTATTCTCTCTCCTTTGGATACTATAATATGCTAATTTTATTGTTTCCGAATTCTGTCTTTTGCAGGTTTTCCGACTAGATTCACTATACAACCATTTTTTTTTCAAAGCAAATGAGGACAGATTAAGGGACTGTGTTGGTGCCATTCTATAATTATTCAAAGTTTTTTTTTTCTTTTTTACAATGAACACTTATTTACTTTAATTATCATGTATCATAATTAAATGATTTTGATATATTTTCCACAATAATATGACTGTAAAGAATTTGTAAGTTCCTAAGATTCTTTTATTACATCATATTACAGCAAACATCAAATTAAAGGCTTTCATAATGCTCTCTTGCTTTATGTGATAAAACTACGTCTACCCTCATAATTATCATGTTATTTGTGAAACGTTTGCATTTTAATGGCAATATCTTTGACATTTAATTTTATATTAATAATGTTCGCCTATCACGATCACTTGAGTGTGATTAATGCATATATATCTAAGCTTCACTTAACAACGGAAAAGCTATATATATATATATATATATATATATATATATATATATATATATATATATATATATATATATATATATATATATATATATATATATATATATATATATATATATATATATATATATATATTCAGTATAGTACTAATTTACATTACATGTATACATTAACATAATGAGAGTTGAATGAAATTAATCCAAACAATTTTAATTTTATCAATTTCTTTTTAACCAGAGACATTTTGTGAGCATTTTCAATTACTTAAACGCTGATTTACAAACCCTGAGGATCGGCCTATCTGAAATTTCGTATAATTTGATACTTAACTCCAGGTGTGATCGTTGTTCGGTTGTTTTGTGACAAGAAAGTAAATGTCTACCTGCTTTATGATACAATCGCTCTAAAATCTGCAGATTTTCATAACTAACGTATATGTTCAAGTTGATAAATTATCATAGAGATAATATTTTAATGGAGACTTTCTTATTTTTATATTTGATAAGGCTTCTGGGTCTGTTCCCGAGAAATCGTGTATATTTTCAATCGATTTATTTCTACGCAGCTATTGATATTAAATTTCGTACACAATTATCGAGTTTGTTTAAAAAAAAAATATGTAGATTAAAGTAGCATGATTTTCACTAAAATTGAATTGTAATTAAGTATTGACTGTATACACTTTTTGAAAACCAAAGGCTTTTGTGATAAGCGTGCGATTCGTTTTCTTAGATTTATTTTTCGATTAACAAAATGATTTAGGCTATTTTAAAAAAAAAAATGTTTGTTTGTCCTCTCCCAATTCAGTTAAAAAGGTTTGGTAGTAGATAGGGAAAATTAAAAAAAAAAAAAAAAAAAAAAAAAAAAAAAAAAAAAAAAAAAAAATCAAGTACACAGGTAGTTGTTGATGGGAAGAGATAATAATACAAACCTCGTTTCCTGGAAGTTAAAAATGGTTTGAGTAGGGCCATCTTTAGTCAGTCGGCTGAGAGAAGGCAAACAGAAAATTAATAAAGATGGCCTTAAATCAATCCTACATTAAAGATTTTTATTTCTTTATCGTGATCTCACTTGTGAATTGCACATCTCTGTGCTTCACTTAATAAAGAAAAGAAAAAAGAAAGAAAGACAGAAAAGATGAAGAAAAAAAGAGTTATTGACGATTTCATTTTGAAAAGTCACACCAAGATAAGAGAGGAGTTATAATGCTTAAAAAAAAAATTAATTTAAGAAAACCCATAATTTATCTTTATTATTCAATTGATTTTAATGAACAATATCTTCATACATGTAGAAGATTGTTATAAGTTTATCATGCATTATTAGTGTCTGCTGGGGTTGATAGTGTCCATGTAAATAGCAAAGCTTTAAAGAATTTCATCATTATACATTTAACAAACACGCCGAAAAAGGTAATAAAAATGAATTTAAAAAAATGTCATCTACTCAGAATAATAAATAAATCTCATTTTAAATTTGATTTTGATTCATTTTTAGTGATCCCCTAATCAAAATTCAAAAAGAAGTCTTTTAAGGTAATGTAGGCGGTACAACTTTGAGGAATCCCATTTTGATTGGTTTTCTCACAAGCTTTTTGATAGTGGAAAAGAATTACTATTTTTTAAGATTTTGGTGCTCTCATTTCACAATAAGCCGACCAAAGACCTAAAATACCTGTATATTTGCTGTTTTCGTATTCATGGTATTTTGAAGCATAGTATATTTTTCACAATATTTTCGGACTGAATAGGATCTTTATAATCCAGTAAGTAAAATAATTCCTGCAATGTTATTTTGAGTACACAGTTTTTCGATTTTTACACATTTGACCTCAAAAATATTTAAAAAAAAATAGTCATTGCTATTTCCCTGTCCCTCTTATTTTGCATAGGAGAGGAAAGTTATTTGGATTAGAAAACAATCTTTTGCTGCTTTTCCTGACCATTTCACAAAGTCATTATACTGAAAATGTTGTATTAAGGGAATTATTGTAAATCCATTTCTTAAACATGCCTAGTGTTTAATTTAAAAAAAATGTACAGTGTTGCATACCAGTAGTTTGCATTTAATTTGACATTCCAGTAGATCTTTAAAATTCATGATTTTGTTCTGGTCTTGACTTCAATATATCATCTATCATATATTTTCCACTTTTAGTTGTTTTAACAAGGTATATCTCTATGAAAATCAAGTCTTATTTATGCGTATTTCAATCAGAATTATTGAAGGTTAAAACAATCAGAACGTGTTACTACGAATTAAACAAACCCAGTATTGACGTTTGCGGGTATATTGTCTACTCCACATCTTCCTTCTGTATATTCTTTTCACTAAATATCATTTTTCAGATAAAAAAAAAAAGAATGGCGGGTTTTGATTTGACCAGGTACTGTTTCTCTTAATAAATTCAAATAAAGTACCTTAAGGTTAAAGGGTTTGGGGGTTGAGGTTTTTTTTTTTATAAAGTGTTTCTGGTTAACAAATTTATATTGCAGATTGAAGGAATTGATTAGGTTAAGTATATGTAAATACCTAATGTATACTTTACCCGTATTCAAGTCACGTTTCCTTAGTGTGTACAGATTACATAAAAACATAATAAGGACAAAATGTTTGAAATTTGTTCTGGTAGTGATTACGTTCTCCTCTCATGTTAACCTGGGTGTGACATCTGCGCTTTGCTAATAAAAGAAGTTAAAGATTTTAAATTATCTAGTGAAGCACAGATTTATATAATAGAACCATATAAAAGTACAAGATTATTATAAACACATAATGTATTTTTATTACAAACTTAGAACTAAGTGCAGGTTGTTTGTATGTGTGCGATTTGCATGAAAGAAGTATAATGTCTGGCACAGGCTTTTAGGCACCATATATGTAATTTAAATATAAAAGTCTATATGATCGGAATAAAATTACTACGAACATCAAGTAAATGGATAATATAATTGTCCTATATTTTATTTCCATAAACCAAAATTTCATAAATTATAATGTAACATCATGTCTAAAGCGTCGGTCTCAGAGAAAACAATGCAAAATCATTGTTCGGAAGGAGGATCAGAGATTTTTTTTTTAAATAAAATGTATATTTTTAATACTTGAGACATTGAAAATTTGAATACTATAAATACAGAACCACATTTTTTTTCTAAAATCAGTAATATCATTTTGTAGTTCATGTCCAAATAAGCTTAATATATGTTAAATACAGCATAGTTGCCTTATGTAAAAAATAATCGACAGAAAGATATTATTTTTGTGCCACGCTCGAAATTTATTATTCAAAGGTATTGCCACCAATCTCATCTAGCATGGCGCATTAAATAGAGTGCATTTTATGAGACATGAATGATGAAATTAAGTTGCAGGTTTGTGGAGAATGGTCCAATGGTTGGGGCCAATAAATTGTGGCCCAGTGTTGCAGTAGGTGCTGGCATGAAAAAGATTCTTCGATGGGCTAGAAGTGTCGAGTACAGGTCGACAGCAATTGGTGGCATCCAAATATGAGTAAAGGGACATAAAGGAAAGTAAACAAATAACAAACCATCCAACCATCTTTACGCCAGAGAAAAAAAACATAGATTGAAAAATATTTCTTTACAAAAAGATGAGAAACTTTATCAAATACATATAGTTAACATTTCAGAGACAAATATATTGATGTTAAAAAAAGGTACCTTTATATCTAAATGCTGTTAGGTTTCTTTTTCTTAGTCAAAAATACATTTTTGTAAATTGTCTTTCTTGAACATTGCTTGCAATGTTGGGATTTAGTTTGAGTTGTCTCGTCCCACAAAGTGTGTGGGTGGTTGGGGAGAGGTAGAAGTGTTTTTGAAAAATCCCCTTGCCTGTCTGTCCACTTGATTAGCTGTTTGTGCAAATTTGACGTGACAATAATTTTCTTACGGAGAAATAATGGAAGACCATACTTAACACAAAGATTACTTATGACCTTAGGGTTTGGTGTAACCTTGAACCATCAGTCATCTGAACAAGATCAATGTCACCAGCAGAAAGATTGTAAAATTTGTACTTTTAAATAAAATTGGAAAGCCATGCTTGGAAAAAAAATAACATCTAATAGTCTGTAATGAACTTAACCGAAGATCATTTAGAAAAGTGAACATCACAGATAGCAATGGAACTTGATACGAAGATTGCTTTGGTTTTCATGAAATTTATTCAAAGTCATGTGGTCGAATTCAAAATGCTACTTCAGCAAAAATTTCGCGGTAAAATTCGGTTCATAGTATGCATGGATTTACAGGTTAATGTTTTATTCTGAGAAGTGTTTCCAAACCATAACAATCTCGATTAAATTTAACATTTCGCAAATTCTATGCTCGATACAATGACCTTATTTGCAAATAAAATCATTAAGCCAAATGCTGACTGGCGCTTTTCATAAATTTGTTGTGGAGTATTATTTACACACCAAATTGCCTAAGAATTTTTTCCTTTACCCGATCATGACAAACAGCCTCCGGTAGGTATGATCGGTCGGCAGAAAATGCTTTTTTGTTATCCTCCATGATCCCACCTTTGTTTTCAGAGGTCTGTGTTGGCTCTGCTTATGATCTGTACATAGTTTGCCTATTAAAGTTACGCGAACTATTCACATTAGTAATTCAAAGTATGAAATTTTGTGCGAAAGTGATTCAAAGTAAAAATATGTACTTTTGTAAATCAAAGTTCTTACTAAGAAAGTCAAAGTTCTTTAGTATTGACTTTAGTAAATCAGCTTGTGATGTCTTGAATTGAATTATATACCAGTGTGAGTAGTTGGGACTTCCAAATCACTTTGACATATCCATGATGCTCCAGATATCGGTGTTCGAGATGCTGAAGTTCAACTGTAGTTTACGCTACCTAACCACTTCAAATGAAACTATTTGTCAAAATAAGTAAAAGTATTAAGTGTTGACTTGATGGAATCAAAGTGCCGTAGCAATTTCTATGGTAAATCAAAGTTTTTAGTATTTTGAATTTCAATATTAAAGGTTTTACTATAGTTATGTATAAATGCTTTTACGATATTAAATCAAAGTTTCAGAATATCCGCTATAGAGAATAAAAAAAATGTTTAGCATAGTTTTAGGGTTATCGCATGTATACATATGTTTATGCAAGTGTAGCTAATTAAAATGTCAACAATTATTTTACGTGATAATTTATTCACGATTCGCCATTGAAAATTTGGTCATCGACGATTAATAATCCGTGACTGAGCTTTCTATTTTATAAACCTTTTAAGGCCTTTTATTTATTTCAATAAATTAAAATTGTGCTTTATGGAGCAACAAATATAGCGACAACCTGTGGCCAATGGAGCGCCAAAGTATGAACACTTAATTTCCCTGTATCTTCATAAAAGAATTTATTCCCCATGAAATACATTTATTTACTGGGTTCGAGAGCAACATGGCTTTTGTTGGACCCAAGAAGCAAACTGTTTGCCTAGGTTCATTGTGCGGAAGGCAAATAGTTTGGTTCGAGGGGTCCACAAAACGCATTTTGCCAGTTAACAGTCAATAAACGTTTTGTTATATCTTTTATTTATTTGACATACATGCATCCTGTGCTGGCATCCATGAAGTAAATTTATTTTTCCCGCACTGCGGTAAAACTCTGTCACTGTCGAACACCAACGAATGCAAATAATATTTTGCTGATCTTAAATAACTGACCACCACCCTTATATATATTTTAATCCTTAATGATGCTATAAAGCAGACGACATCTGCGTTCCATAGAACACTGTAGTTAATAGTTAAAATCATGTAAGTCATTCTAAAAGTTTATGAAATAAAACACTTAAAGATTATGTATACCAAGAACGAGACAAGCAGCCATAAGTTCTATAGAGTTATCAGGACCATTTTAATGTTATGTTGGGAACTAGTACAGTGTCACCTCAATATATCGCCAGCTCTTTTTGTCCAACCCATTTTTGGTATTATAACAAAGGTGACATTTTAGAGTTTGATCTATCTCAATTTAAAAAATGATAAGATTTACCAGGTTATTAAGTCTTGTTGTATAATAGTTCCTGATAAACGCATTTACAATGCATACACTCATTTGATTTGAATATAACATTGAATTGAAAAAAAAGTATTGTACAGATATTTATTTCGGCATGTTTAGAAATATTAATTTTTGTAGAAAAAAAAACCCACATCAATCATAGTTCCAATTTTTATTATAATATAGGTAGCTTTTTTTTCGCCCGTCAGTGATTAAATGATAATCCATAACCGTGCTCTCTCCGGAAATGAATTGAAATTCAATGTCTAGATTTGAAACAAACTAACCACCCAATTATAGTCATCGCACAGTATATACGGGAAAATCGAGTACAAGTAATTGTGTAATTATGGAGTTTTGGCTTTGGTATACGGGAATATAAGTATAAATATAATTTGACCTAGTGTACTTTAAAACGGGTGTCGGAAGGCAATAGTAGTCTTTAGTGTGTATGGAAATCCTTTTCTGCGAATTTTAGTGACGGTATGTGGGGGTGATTGGATTGATTGTATGTTATTTCTCGGTGAGAATTTTTTACTCATAAAAAAAAACATCACCACATGGCGGTGAAATGTTTTAAATTTAGACCTTTCTCAGCACTCAGGTCCATTGAGAAGTGAGGGATCTCTATCATGCCAACGCCTGTTGCGACCAGGTTTTGATCCACGACCTTCTGAACACATACCAAGGTGACAGTGTATTACAATAACAGTAAATCACATATTTCGCGTGAGTTTAGTTTAAAAGAACAAGGTTCACTTAGGGCCTTTTTTGGCCCTGTGAATTTCTGAAAAACTGAAACTGCTTAGTTTTAGTTGACAATGCATTAAATTTCATTTAGACATTTGGCGATTGCAAATCTACCAAAAATGACGTAATTTTCTGGCTAGTCAATGCATTATGACGTCATGAAATGCGTCATTTTCCTCATATCCTGAACAATTCTACAAAAACAGCCAATTTTTAAAGCTACTTTTCGATATTTAATATAGAGCACAATCTCTGATCTAAAATATGCAATTATTTACTGATGGAACCGTTTCTGAGGATTACAAAACATGTTTTATTTTTTAGATCGGAGGGTGCGCTCATATTCTTCTTCTTCTCTGAAAGTACTCAAATATACCTGTTTTCCGTAAAATTCAAGAACATCGCAATTCCATAAAGCTTGTTTTCCAAGACCTGGGCTTTAAGGAGAAAAATTTTAATAGGAAATGAAAGCACGAAGTCTCTACTTTATCTTGATGTTTAAAATTGAACATGAGGTGTTAGTCAATAAACTGGTATATCTACAGGGCCAGTTTATGCATAAAGTGAACCTAGCTCTTTGTAAGACAAGTCTGTGTTGCAGTTAAATCCGACATATAATTTCTATGTACAGATAGTGAATAGTTACTTTCTGTAATTATTTTCAAGAACTTAATTTTCTGCTAAAGTGTCATAAACTTTTCTTCTTTTTAGGTCTAAATATCTAGCTCGGTATGAAGGCATTTTCTCCGAGGAATTATACAAGAAGTAGGTGAATTCATCTCTTCATTTCTATAGACCTGATCAATTATTTAGAATATACTGTAATACATATTTCCATTTTTAAAAATTGGAAGGTTATTTGGAAAAGTTATGACATTATCGATAAAAATATCAAAAGTCGTCAAAGAATCAGATTTATCTTTTCATAAATTGTGATTTTACATTTTTTTTTAGATAAAGCCTCTGTTGTTGCAACGTTAACACTCTTTGCAACAATACTGTATCTCAACCTGTTTATCTCAGTGTCTCAGAGAGAGGAATTATTCAATTATTTTCCATCATTCCGTATGAAGTTTTCCATTACCCATACTGCAACTGAGGTGTTTTCAGATGCCTCCAAAAAGTTTAATGCAGATACTTCTACTAAGTTACCAGTTAGGTCCACATCTCTCTTGCCTAAAACATCCACAACATATTCATTGTCCGAGACTTATGTGTGCCCTACATTTCGAGGAAGACTTGGAAATAATTTATTCCAGTTTGCGTCAGGGTTTGGAATCGCTGTCTCCAAGGGTTTGAAGTTTGTGATAGGTGAAAAGGACCGTGTATTACAAATTTTTCAAATGAAAAATAGTAAACACCTTCTGATCAGTAAAGACAAAAGAGAATGTATCAAAGCAACACTTCGAAAAGAGCGCCATTTGTGCACATACGATGACCATTTGGTAAACTTTACACCAAATGGAACATTCAGAGTGGGAAATTATCTACAGTCATGGAAGTATTTTCATAATGCCTCTCGGGAATTACGAGAACAGTATAAATTCAAGGCTCATATTCAGAATAAAGTGGACCATATTATAAAACATATATTGGAGAAATTCAACACAACCCGAAAGGATGCGACTTTAATTGCCATCCATATTAGACGTGGTGACTTCGTACGCCTAAAATCATCCGGTTATGCCGTAGCAACTAAGGAATACTTTGAGAAAGCCATGACACTTTTTAGTAATTATTCCAGTCCTCTTTACATTGTTTCCTCCAATGATCTTGAGTGGTCTAGAGCTAATATTCCTAAGAAGTACAAGGTAGAGTTTACATCTGGGAATTTACCGGAAGTTGATTTGGCTTTAATGGCTTCATGTGATCACATGATATCGTCGGTGGGTACCTACAGCTGGTGGGCAGCTTGGCTTAATAATGGGAATGTGACTTACTACAAATGGCCTGCTGCGGAGGACTCTCCTATCCGTTCTCATTTCAGCTCAGACTACATGGATTTTTTTTACCCACATTGGATAGGGTTATAATTAATGACAAGTATTAATGATCTAGAATCATTCATTATGCAGCCATGTGTGCATTAAACTGACTTAATGTGCAAGTTTTTTTTCTAATATTTTCACATGGATTCACCAGACTGTGCATTTATTTATAGTTATTCCAGGCCCCAAGACCATAAACTGAGAACAGACTTAAGTCAAAATTTCAAATCGATATAACTTTCGAAATAATTTTGATAATAAAATAAAATTATCATCATATGTTTAAATTGGAGTGTTTTGCACATTCGCAAATTTTTAAGCTAATACATTGAATGAAATTTAAGATATTAAAAATTAAACTTTTGACTTAAGTCTGTTCTCAGTTTATGGTCTTGGGGCCAGGTGCTTCTTTGTAACTTTCTGTAAAATGCACGCGAGACAGTGCATATGTGTCAATATATCCTGTTTCATTTTTCTGCATGCAAATATTGCCAGACATTAATCAATTTATTGATGATGCCTTGATTTTGAATTGCTTAAGAATCAACCTATAAGTTGTTTGTATTTTGAAAGAATGCAGAGATAATCAAAGTATATTTTATAATTTATTGTGTGGTTAAGAGAGTAAACAAAAGAAATTACAACGTGTTTAATTACGAAAATTGAAGATTTTTCTCCAAGTTGATCTATTTGATATCTTTTATAGCATTTATTTCCAAAAAGCATTTATATATTACTGTACGATGTGTATCAACATATTTTCAATTCAAATAAAATACAATCTATCATTAAAGTTAAATGACGACTACTAATCATTGCATTTCTGATACTCATATGTCGTAAACATTCTAACCAATCGCTGGAATTCCTAATGTAACTAATCATAACAGTACCACTTTGTATTCTTTAAAAAGTTTACTTTCAACAATATGTACATGATACCTTAATACTTTGTAATTGGGATGGGGCGGGGGGGGGGGGTATGGTTCCTCCGTTTCCAAAGGGTCTATTTTTTGTCTTTTTGTCAGTATATTTACACATACAGACGACAAGCATGAAAATGTTTTTAGAGATATGTTTTCTTCCTTTCTATTGAAAACATTGAAACATTTTCGTAAGTGTATTTCTACTGAGAATGGGTGAAAATATGTTTTGTTAGATTTCTTAAACTAACTAAATGTGGAGAAAATATGTGTGTTTACAAGCATTTTTTTTTTACTTTTCTGAAATCATAACCCCCTCCTGTATCAACACCGCCTGTACAGGGTGGTAAGTCCAGTTTTGCTTGCCCATTTAGTGTTGAAAATTCTGATAGGGGGTCCATACACAGTGACAATAGGAAAAGAGATTACAATTCATATCTCACGATAGTAAAAAAGAAATATATTAACATCGTTCAATAACCTTTGGATTTTGAAAACATTCAATTAGACGTTATGGTTCAAAATTCTGCCCTAATTCTTTCTGCTTTGTGGTTTTAAGTTATTGTATATCCTTCGTGATGAAGAAAAAAATACAACAAATGGCCATAACGATTTAAAATTTCGAACTTTTAAATAGAAACGAATCAAAATCATTACCTGAACTGAAATTTATCAGGGCGAATAAATGTAATTACCATGACAAAATATTCAATATATTTAGTACTCAGCCGAGACGCTAAATAACCTGGAACCAAAATTATGCTAATGCAAAGATCAGAAAAAAAGTTAAAAGTAACCAAACTCTCCCCGAACATAAAAGAAGAAAAATTCAACCGATAAATTAAGGAGATGGGAAGAAATTTATAATTTGTTGTTAGGAATAAATTATCAGTAATTACATACTGTAGAGTTTTAATATACCCAAGGACTTAATTATCATGTAATTTTGCTAGAAACTTCTTTCTCGAAATTAAATTACTTGCTTTTATTTTTTTTATTGATGAAGAACATGTGCATCTCTTTTTCCTTGTATTACACGTTTTCAACACACACATGTACGAGGGTTGTCCGTAAAGTTCGTGGACAAGCTAAAATTTAAATAAAAGTTGCGTCACAGATATTTATCATTAGTATACTTATAATCCTTTACTATGTGTGAATTACAAAATGAAAAATTTTATTCAATTTTAAGTGTAGAATTACAATTATGACGTCATTATTAGACTTGGGATTGTGACCCGGAGCACAACAAAGTTTTAATTAAAGCATTATTTATCATTTTATACATTTCATTTGTATTTTGTAAAATTCCGCGAAAATTTGGATGGCTTTTATATTGTAAGATTGACAAAAGTTATAAAGTCAAACCTGTAAAATTTGAAAGTTCAAAGTTTCGAAATGGCAGAGATATCGAGGTCAGAGTTTATTAAGATAGGATAGTCATTTTTCGAAAAAGGGACATTTTCGGAAAAGGTGGAGCAGAGAGTAGTGATAAAATTCTGTGTGGACATCGGAAAAGCACCAACAGAGACCCATAAACTCCTTAAACAGTCGGGAAATCATGGTAAAGTAATCTATTCTTTAGTGTTTAAGTGGCACAGAAGATTTTCGGACGGAAGAGACAGATTACTGGATGGCATGCGTGAAGGAAGATCATCTTTCCGAGATTGTAGTGCTGTAGAAAAATGAAGTTCGTAACGTGACTTTGCCGTATTTCCGTACATACAGTCGTTTTACGCGGACAGAGGTTTGATGATTTGCAGGATCTGAGACAGGAACTGTTAGATATTATTTCACGTCTGAAATTAAACCAGAACAGTTTGTGCACATTTTTGATGACTGGTTGAAGCGACATAAGAAATGTGTTGAGTTTAACAGTGACTACGTTGAGAAAACGTAAAAGTATTTAGCTTTTGGCGTCAAGTAACGTCAAGGATTTTCGTTTTAGTGCTCCGGGTATGAGTGTGTATCTTTTTTGGATTTGATAAAATATAACTATTTGTGCTCTGTTTGTGATTAAAACTTGCATATTAATAAACTGAAACATGAATTTAATGAAAATAATAGTGTCATATATTTTATCAATGTTTGACAGTAATTATCAATGTTGTCCACGAACTTTACGGACAACCCTCGTACACTCACATGTGCTCGAGCGAAAAACTGTTCACTTTCTTTCATTTGCCTAATACTGTTAACATTAGAATTTACATTCAAGGTATCTTAAATTAATCGATTTAACATATTCACATGAAAATATTTTTCGCCTTTTAATTCAGGCTTTTTTTTAATCCTTTTGTATTACAGATCATGTTTAACAAGGACGCAGTAAAGTCCTTTCTTACCGTGATTAAAATATTTTTTTCACATTTATATATAGTCAAAATGGTTCAGATTTACAACTTTATTATTATTATTAGCATTATTATTATTATTATTGGCAATTGGAAGGAAGATTCTCTATATATCATATGTTAGAAATAAAGAGAAATAAGCATCTTCTGATCAGTGAAGACAATTTAACTGTTAGAACAGAGCTCCTTCTATGTTCATAGGACAATCAGTTGAGAAAATACATTTAGAGTTGGAAATTATATCTTATTTGAAATTACGAGGACGAATTATATTCAGGGTTGATCTTCAGGTAAAATGAATCATATTATAGATGTCTTGAAGAAATTCTGTCTGTTAACAACACCCCAATCCCCACACACCCACCCCACCCTAAAAACATGACTTTATGACAATAGTATTTTAACAAAGTACAATCTATAGCTATCTCAATACCCTTTACATGCTTTTGAGCGAAGCAAATATCTTAGTAATTTATTAAAATATCGAATATCATATCGAAATAAACAACGTATGACTTGCTTCAAAGGAAAACTACATTGGTCTGATAGTCTGAAAACATTTCTAGAGAGTTTAATAGTGTTATTAGGAATGGATTATTTCAATGGGATGTGACTTCCAATGCAGTATACATAAATCCTTTTCGTAGCGAGTATTTGAGTCTATCAAAGATCACTGAATTTAAAAATGAATAATTAAAGAAGAGGAAGAACTACATGTACTTAAGAAGGACTTGCCTCTGTAACAATACACAGAATATAATGCATTCTATCAGTTTTATGTGATTTTTTTAATTGTTACTATACAGAACTCATCAAAAACTTGATGGCCCTAAATGTTCACTTTTTTCTAGAGTTATATAAAAAATTAAAGGAATATATATAGGAATATATAAATATATTTTTATTTTGCTGAAAAATAAAGAATCTCAGGCTATTTCAGAATAATTCAACTTATTCGCATAGCAGAATTCACGAAGAATACCACCCCCACTCAAAAAAAAAAAAAACCAATTGTCAAAATATCGTGAATCAACATTTTCAGCAGCTTTTAGTAAGTATTTGATGCTAAATACCGTACTTGTCTCTGTTTGAAAACATGGATCAATAGTAGCATAACATTTTCACTCAATATACATGTACGTATATGTAGCAAATAACAGCCTGTGTTGTTTAAATCTAGAATTTGATTTTAAATTTAGGGCACCATCTGATAGTTTGTGGCTCTATTTATTTGCAATGAAGATTTTACAAAAATAAGTCAGGAAGTTTGTTTGACATTGTATCACACCTATATTATATTTGGTAATTGTACTACAAAAAAAAAAAAAAAAAACGTTTATAGTACCCTAACAACAAAACTTTATGATAATGACTTGAACTTTTCTATCGTCAACTTCCCTTACTTATGTAGCATTAAACCCTTATTACTTGCATATGGAGTTAATGTCTCTCCGTTGACTAATACGCAAGAGTATGCTCTACATGCAAACAATATCTAAAACGAGACAAGCTATTGATAAACAAATTGATGAAACAAGAATTTCAACAGACCCATTTAAAGTCATCATTTGGCAAGTTCTGCGGTCGATACAATGACCTCGTCAGCACAAATGCTGACTGACCTTTTTCATACTAAATGTTAGGCCATCATTTACACACTGAATTGTCTACGGAAATTTCCGGTTGGTGACCGGTCGGCAAGGGAATCGCACTCCTCCATGGCACCTGACCCCACCTCTGATGTTTTAGAGGTCCATGTTTGCTTTGTTCCTGACTTGTATTTTTTTTAAAATGGACTTTTGAGCTTGAATACTCTTCGGTATCTCCATTTTTCATTTGGAGAACAATAATCTATACTGGAATGTTAGAATATTTTGGGAGGGACGGGAAGGGGAATACGCCTTCTATAGAAACTCAAAAAATACATCCTTTTTTAGCACTGTTATTCTATTGTAACTTAATCTGAAGACTCTGATGGAAACACCTATTACTCTACATGAAGATAAAA